TTTCTTGCGCATGAAGGGCAACATCCTTGAAAATCCTGAGACCGTGCGATTCCAGATTGCGCACGGGGCAGGAAGGTCCAAGATGCTGAAAAACATTGAAGAAGTCTTCAAACACGAATTTGGAACATAAGACGTGAACAGAGAGCGCCGGATGCAGAATGCCGCCTAGAGTTGAGAGCTAATGTTCCACTCGCTTTAGTGGGAGGGGGCACTATTATGCGATGTTCCGAAAATCCTATACAGGACCCCCCATTGTTTAGGGTGGTCCTCAATTATGCGATGTTTGCCCGGCCGGGGTTGAAGGCGGGGGGCCGGGGAGCCAAAAACTAAAAAAAAAATTGAACAAGAAACTCCGGGTTTTTTTGTGTCCAGCCTTATTTAAATTCCTTTTAAAATTTCATTACGAAACAGGCCCCCAAACAATTTTCCTAGGGAGTAGCCCACGAGCTGCCCTGATTCGCTTTAGCAAGTTGTTTCGGGACCGCATTTATGCGGAGCCCCGGCGACCGTGGAGCTACAAAGCCTGGAAAGCTCAGACCCTCAAGCTTCAAGGCTTCCCCTCAACCCTCGACCCCTAGCCGCCCTACCCCCAGCCCCGTCCCAGCCCCAGCCCACAGTATTCAGGATCCCCGAAAACCCCAAAATTGTTTGGGGGGGGGGGGGGGGGGGGGGCCTGCGCACTAAAGCGAGTCCAACATGTTCCACTCGCTTTAGTGGAAGGGGGCAGTATTATGCGATGTTCCGAAAATCCTATACAGGACCCCCCATTGTTTAGGGTGGTCCTCAATTATGCGATGTTTGCCCGGCCGGGGTTGAAGGCGGGGGGCCGGGGAGCCAAAAACTAAAAAAAGTTTTGAACAAGAAACTCCGGGTTTTTTTGTGTCCAGCCTTATTTAAATTCCTTTTAACATTTCATTACGAAACAGGCCCCCAAACAATTTGCCTAGGGAGTAGCCCACGAGCTGCCCTGATTCGCTTTAGCAAGTTGTTTCGGGACCGCATTTATGCGGAGCCCCGGCGACCGTGGAGCTACAAAGCCTGGAAAGCTCAGACCCTCAAGCTTCAAGGCTTCCCCTCAACCCTCGACCCCTAGCCGCCCTACCCCCAGCCCCGTCCCAGCCCCAGCCCACAGTATTCAGGATCCCCGAAAACCCCAAAATTGTTTGGGGGGGGGGGGGGGGCCCTGCGCACTAAAGCGAGTCCAACATTACTCTTCTTTCAGGGCTTCTGGGTGGACCAGGCCATTCAAGTCTAGAGCCGAGGCCTTTCACGCGCCTCGGAAGCAAAACGAGAGCTCAATGACTTGAGCAAGATAGCGGCTTCAGTTGTCCCGCAGCGCGCGAAAGCCAGTGTTTCGTGTGTCTCTGTGTCTGGCCAGTGTGTGGCCTTTCCTGGCCTTTGATATGGGGCATTGTGATCAGACAACAGGCTCAATTCCTGCGCGTCCTGTCCCGTGCGAGAACGGGAAACATGTCCTCAACCATCCGCACCAACCTCATTTGCGGCAGCCCGAACTGACAATGAAACCGATTCAAGAAATCTGCCGAAGGTAAACCTCCAAGACACCCTAAACCCTAGAGTCCTAGAGCCCTACAGTCGCTCATGGAGGCGTGGCCCATCGTGGCCCGGAACCATGGCCGATACTACCATTTCCGAGAGCCAGGCCCGAAACCCGCCCCGCCTTCCGCGTTAGTAAACTTGTTGCCGCTCCAGGGCTCCGGACTCTTTGCTCGACAGGAAGCCCTTCCGCTTGACGTCATACTTGTTAAAGACGGTCTTGAGCTGCAAGACCTGGCATGAGGGTCTCGGCCCATGGGATCTGCTTGGCTTAGTGTCAAGTGAAGGCTTCCAGTGGCTTTCATGGGATTCCCAAGTCCAACTTTTCATGCTCGTCAAGCCCAAGCAAGGGCATTCGACTAGGCCTCACCCTCGGTCCAGCCGCCGTTGGACTTGTAGACCTCGGGGAGCGTTCCCACGAGACAGGCACCGGCCATTCCCCCCGGCCCCCTTTTCCTTCCATATTCCTGCTTCTCTGGAGACCTCTACCACGGACCTACTGGGCTTGCGCTCGCACTTGCCATTGCCACGTAATCGGTTGTTTGGATCAGCAGGCGCTCCTCAGCACACTCACCCCCAAATCAAAGCAATCATCGGGCAGGCTACTTGGCGGAGGTCTCTGGCATGGCGACAGCACACACCTGGCAAAGGCCGCAAATGAAGCTGGAAGTCTGCAACAAACCCTCACACATGACCTGAAGCTTTGTATTAGGACTGGAAAAGCAGCATTTCATAGGATTTCCACAACGCAGGCCCAACAGCGCACCCTTCTGTAAGAATAAGACACGCCCACACACACTCAGTGAGCAGCATCAATCATGCCGGCAGCGCGCACGAAGGCGGCCTCATCCAGGAATGGATCTGCCTGGTGCCAAAGGTCACCGCGACAACTTCTTGCGATTGCACGAGCTGCTAAGTAAATCTGCCATCTGACCGGACTGCCGACACTCACTGGACGATGGTTGCCTGCAGCTCATTCAGAGCTCTATGGCATTCAGAGCACCATCTGTCCCACGTGTATGGCATGTTAGTTAGTTTAGCGCCAGCCCACAACCAAGAATGTCTACCTCTCCTCAGAAATCTCTACGGTCAAACAGTTGAAAGCCACTGCGACCTCACCCCTTGTCATCACACCACACTTCAAGAAACGTGAAACTCTCGAGCAAAGATCATCTGAGCCCTGTTGATTGACAAATCCCGTCTATCCGCAGATTAGACTCAGGTTAGACATGAAAGTATCCGAACTATCCCCTGACTCTTCTCGAACCGAAGCCCTGCCATCTGGTACGTCTTGGCGGTGACTCTGGCCGCCAGGGCGACGTACTGCGGCAAAAGCTTGCAAGGCCAAGCGCAAGGGCATCACGGGCAGCTAAAGCCATGAAGGAATGGACACTGGGTAATTGCAATGAAGTGATTTGAAACCTCTCCTTGGGGTCATCTTAGTGTTTTGACGGGCTTCCTTACTTCCGAGGTCAAGATGGCGAGAGGAGACAGGGCGGCTAAGCAGACCTAGACATCCCGAAGCCCTTGAACCCTCAACTGTTGCTCCTGGTACCGCACTCGGAAGCCCAGTTCTCGCACCGCCTGATCAACATCACATGCATCTCTGAGAAGATTCGAGCATGAGATGCGTGCTGAATCACAACGATCAACCTGCTGACCTCTACACATACAGCAACAAGCCAGCACCGCCTGATCATTGCAAGGATGGAAAGCTTCGCTTGCATGGTCGTGTCGGTTGGCAGTGATTTTCGCAAAGCAGAGCGGCTCTTTCATGAGACTACAAGCTTTTCCTGTCACACAAGAACGACCACTCTTCATGAAATGTGCTGTAGTCTCGGTTGACCTCGGCGGCACGGTGTTCGTCCAGAGCTGCGACCTTCGAAAGGAGCGGAGGCTTTCCTGCTTGAAGGTTCACGGGTAGTTATAAGTAGGGCTATAAGTACCCTGAATACGGTTAGAACCAGTTGCAACTATGGTTGCCATACATGTAGCCCCACTTGCAACTCCCCATCCTTACATGAACCTCCAATTATCCTGCAAGCACGTCGGAGGCATGAATGGTTTCCAGCTTTGGAGAGCACAAATTCACTCTGGCCCCTAAACCCTAAACCCTAAACCCTAAACCCTAAACCCTAAACCCTAAACCCTAAACCCTAAACCCAATGTCATCATCCAGCCTTGGCAGTGGACGCAACCGCGGCATGGAAGGCCTGCGATCGCATGCTCGTGCGCAACAAACAGACTTCAGATGAGTTCTCTCCCACCGCCAGGATCTATGGAACTTCGTGCTTTCCCTTTGTGGCTAAGGACGTCGACCACCAAACCTCGGTAAAGGTGGTTCCAAGGTTGGCTTTTGCATGCATCGTCGGACTGCAGGAGGCACTTTGGGACATCCCTTTACCTTACATAGTTGCCATTCGGAAGTTGAGCCATAAATCCTGCTCCAAGGATTCACGGATACTTGCACCGTAAGTTGGACGTGGCTACATATTGGGAACTTCGCATGGAAACGCAACTTTCCTCCTTTCAGGCCGGGCCGAGACGGGCGACGCACAGCGTTCACAAGGATCCTACTTTGGGATGTTCCCCCTTATACTAACAGCTCCTTAATAGGGAATATAATAGGGGGTACTAGAATCCCCATTAAGGACTGTTAGTACAAGGGGGAACATCCCAAATCCCACTTCTAAGTAGCTAGGAACCGGTAAACCGGCCTTCTTGTAGCGCTGGATGTCCCGCTCCTGGCGCACGTGTGAGCTGGCTGTTTTTTGTACATATAGCGACCTTGACCGCATCACCGAAGCATCTTGCTGTCTTCATCGAACAGCCAACCACAAGATCCCTGCGTGTTGTTGGAGTCACATGATTTTCCACACACACACACACACAGCCCACAGAGCCTGCAGCATTCCTTAGCTGGACAGAGTCGAGCACTGGTCTAGTGCAGCTGAAGACAAACCCAGGAACCAACCAGTCTGTCAATGTAGCCATGCTCCCTGCAGACTGGGAACGGACCATTTTGCGGAACTCGCGCCTTACAGGCACGGAACCGTGTGGCCGCTATGCTTGCAGTTTTGCACTCACATGTAGCTTTTCGCGCAACAGCGCAACACGGCAAGCGAGGCAGACGGCGAGAACCGTTTTCCTCACAGAGCAGACTGAGTGAAGGCCTTGGCTGAGACCCCCCCCCCTGCAGGCTGTGCCGGGCTCGAAAACCTGCCTCCCGCGGTCGGTTGCTGATCTTTAGCAACCATGGAAAGCACTTAAGAACGAATTAACAAAGACTACCTACTTGCAGATTCATGGGCGCCCCCCTTTTTGGGGTGCCCAAATTCGGAAACCCGCTCTCCCCTGCCAAAATGCAGGGCTGGCGCAAAAGAGTGGATCTTTACAAAACCGTGGTCTTAGGATAACAAACATCGGAGGCGAAAACCCGAAGATCAGATCGAGACCACCTCCTCACGCTTCGCAGTTTCGGCCTCTTCGGCCTGCAGCTGAGCCTTCCAGTTGATTCGGGCTTTCGGGCCTTTCGGGCCTTTCGGGGTACCAGTGAATTTTCAGGCGCTGCCTGCGGGAAAAGAAGAGGGTCGTCTTCAAGAGCCAGATCAAGCCACCCTAAACCCTGAAAATGATTTTACTTCGAACGTCCCCACCTTGCTCCTCGTTAAAAGGAAAGAGCGCAAATAGGATGTTCAAACAAAGACACATTGATTCAAATACGCTTTCTTAGTTTTTGCTTGCAATTGGGGTTGGGCACTCCAGGGACTCTCTGGGGCTGGGCACTCCAGGAGTGTCTGGGTTGGGCACTCCAGGGAGGGCACTCCAGGGAGTTTCTGGGGTCAGGTTGAACCAAGGATCCTTCCAGAGTTTCGAAAACAAGAGAGATGAAGCAAGCGCCCGTGAAAGCTCCTCTGAAAGCTCCCCCGAAAGGCCTTCAAGCGGCGCATGTCCATCGGGTATGACTTGTGAAGTAGGCTGTAGAGGGCAAAGGTCACCAGCCAAGGTATGCAAATTGTAGCCTCAATGGGGCGCTTTCTGTGGAGCCCCGGAAGGCCCCGAAGGCACCCAAGAGACTCGCCACTGAAACTATCAGAAACCTCTGGGGCACCGGCCGCCATGGCCTGTCCCAGGGCTGTTGCCGCCGAGAGGGACGTTCCACTGGCTTCCTCCTCGCCAAAGGTGTACCCAAACATCAAAGCCAACTTGGCCACAAAGAGAGGGCCAATCAACGTCGCGATGGAGTTCTCCAACGCGCACTCCCAAGCCATGACTTTGCCTCGGGAGCTCGACTTGCGTGAATCACATCACATCACGGGAACGGCTATGACGGCATGACGCTGAAGAACTGGATCTCCTCAGAGTCTGGGGGACTTCAGCGGAAGAGCCGAACCAAATGCTGCCGCGCAGCTGCGGTGCTTCGGCGGCACGATATCCGACAGGATCGGAAAGTTGGTTCCGGACTGGGCCCAGTTGCCGAACAGGCTAAAGGCGGCAATAATCGTGAAGTACACGCCTCAGCACTTGTCCGCGATGCGCAGGCTTGACATACAAGGGGGCCCATGAATGAAAGTTTGTTTCGGGTTCTAGTGGCAAAGGGTTCAGGGTTTCAGGGATTAGGGTTCAAGCAGAGCATGGCAAGCCTTCCCCGGGATGCCAACTTCCGGGACCCCTTCAAAAGCGAGCAAGTCTCCGAAGGTGCTTGCTTGAGATCCGGGTGGAATGCCCAAGAACCAGAGATAAATCAATGGGATGCCGATGGCCACTGTAATCTGTGCCTTTGCAGAGCCAGGATTTAGGGCCGAGGGTTGAGGACCTTTTGCCATGGGCCACATGAGCCAGCCGCCCAAGCATGCCTGAAGCTAGACCAAATTACAGAAAAAAGGGCCTTGGCACCTCAACTCCTAGCAGCACCGAAGGGTCACATTGCCCGACTTACTGCATCCTCCTCTACATTCTACATGCCTGAGGCTTGCCAAAGGACCTCTAAATTCCAGCAAACAGAGCTGTCTTCCTAACTGACCTTAACCATCCCTTGCCCTGAGCTCCGGACACTCAGGGGCCGCCCGTGGTAGCCCAGGCGGGCGGCGAGGCAGTCGGCCACCACTCCCCCCAGCAGGTTTCCGAAGACGCCCACGATGGTGCCTGGCAAAGGGGACAAGCCCAAACAAGGGCCTCGAGTGGCAGCGCCCAATTAGCAGCAATCCGGCACGTCGTCAGTGTGCTTTTACTATGCATTCTACAAAAAATCGATTATATAACGCATTCTGTGGATAGTATATACTAAGATTCATAAATATAAATATAAATATAAATAAATATATATATATATATATATATCTGTACTATACTATAACGTATACATTTTATAAACATATACATGAGCATGCATATGAGGCCAGAATGGCCAGATGTTATAAATAGTTAAAACATGATGTACGGATGTCTATATCTATATCTATATCAAGATCTATATCAAGATCTATATATTTATAATGGGATAAATATGATATAGTACCAAAGTATACAAAATTCAATATAGTTTTCGAGGCGGCAAGGCACCCTCGGAGGCCAGGATGGATCCTTGCCAGTCCTCGAGGCCAGAGAGTTTGAAGAAGAGTAGGTTGTTGCCCATGACCTGGGATGGGTTTAGGGTTTAGGGTTTAGGGTTTAGGGTTTAGGGTTTAGGGTTTAGGGTTTAGGGTTTAGGGTTTAGGGTTTAGGGTTTAGGGTTTAGGGTTTAGGGTTTAGGGTTTAGGGTTTAGGGTTTAGGATTTGGTTTAGGGTTTAGGGTTTAGGGTTCAGGGCTTGGGGTTTAGGGTTTAGGGCTTAGGGCTTAGGGCTTAGGGTTTAGGGTTTAGGGTTTAGGGTTTAGGGTTTACGGTTTAGGGCTTGGGGCTTAGGGGTTTAGGGCTTAGGGGTTAAGGTTTAGGGATGCTTCGTGTTTAGGAGGTCAGGGCTTCCTCTGATAGCACTTGTCTTCTCTTGACATTCTGGGGCCGCAGGGCTAACGGTTGGGCTTCACGTTGCAGGCGCGGGGCAGTCCATGGAATCGTGCCAAAGATTCCCTGCCTCAGTATTGGTCTCTACTCCTCCCCTATGGCCCTTTGGCCGGGTGGCCGGCGATCTACTCCGTAAAACCTTCAAGTCATGAACCCTAAAGACCTTTCTACCTGTATGACCTCAAACCTCACAAGCCCTAGACTAGAATCCTTTGTGTCCGAAGCAGGATCGCATGACGTAGGTTCTAAAACCTTGAAACCTTTCAAGCCCAAACGCCTAAACCTTAAAACAACAAAGCCCTAAAAGCCGAAAACCCTGACCCAAAACCCCACACCCTAGCGCATCCGACTTCCAGGTTCTCTCCGGGGGGCCGTAAGCCCTAATAACCCCTACAAGTAGCACATCCGAGATCATGAGCTTTCAGGAGCACTTCTTCCTGACTTGACGGTCTGCGGCCCCACACCTCAGCCAAATCATAAGCCTAAGCCCTCCACTGCCCTAAACCCGCTAAATCCTGCCAAGCCTCACGACCATGATGCAGAAAGTGGGGATGCAGAGGAAGCCCAGCAGCGCGCGAAGCTCCTCTACCACGGCCTCACAGCCCTTCTTGTCCGCCGAGCTGTCCAGCTGTTTGGGCGGCTCCACCTGAATTCTCATAAGCGGCATAAGAGAGAGTGCATAGCAGCATAGGGCTGCATAATGCTGTAGATAGCGCAGAGTGTTGCTGCGTAGTATTGTACAAAGCAGAGAGAGCAAGCCAGTCAAAAACATGTAGCAAAACACGAAATAATGTGGGCACGGCAGGAGGGTAGTGTGTGGCAGATCATCAGCATTGGGCTTGGCGCTAACAGCGTTAAACTCTACCGTTAGCCGTTGGCAGTCGCAATACAACGGGCATAAGATAGCAGAAGCATGAGCATCGGGTCGAAAGTGAAGCTCCAGGCGCTAGAAATCTTCTGCGGATTGACAAGGCATGGGGAGTCCAGGAGTCCGGGGCTCTGGGTTCCGAGAAGTCGGCAGGGTATGGACGGCTTGGCACTTGCATCATAAACAAAGTGCAGGAACCCACCCTTTGTTGGCGAAGATGAGATTCCGGAAAGGGGTCAAGGAGAGTTAGCAGCTTTGAAAGGTAAGGTCCAGAGCTCGGGAGAGGATTGAAGTGCGGGCCTCAATTCCACTGAGCCTCACTCAAGTCAGGAGCGTCGCACTTGTCAGCTCCCATGCGTTGCCTTCGCCTCGACAAACACCCCTGAATTCCTCTTTTCCTGGGCAAGGCTCCATCAGCATGCACACCACCACGCCGATGCACGCAGCAGTGCACCCTGCAAGCAGGAAAATGAATCGCCACCCAGGGAGGCTGCCCAACTCGATGTTGGCCACGTTGCCGGCTATCCTGGTGTACCATGAGTCCCATGAACCCGGTTTGGGCGACTACGAGGCACAGGGTGGTGGAGCCAAGAATGGTCAAAAAAAAGAAAAAGGTGCCGGGCTCTTAAGGCATGCCGAGCGTCAGTGTGGTGCCACACATGCCAAGGAGGAGGGAGCTCTGCACCAGTGAGAACATCTTTCCGCGGCGATCATCCGACGTCATGTCTGCGATGATACCGTTCACAACGGGCCTCTCATCAAGCCATAAACTCTCTGAGGAATATGTTGTAGGTGCAGATACTCACATATGTGTGTAGAAGCATATACACATAATCAAAATAATACTCAAGAATAATAACAATAGAAAAATAGTCATCACGCGAGCACTTCGGCCTGAGGGACGCAAGGAAGAACCCGCTCATGCCCCGCAAGATCACCATGACCAGAAAGTTTGGCACCATGGACATCAAGCCAGCCTTCGCGCTCGGAAGTCATCCCCCGAGCCCCTCAAAGTTTCCGCTTCGGGTCTACGGTTTGTTCTTACCTTGAGAGAGCCAAGAAGCTGCCAGGCCCTCCCCGAGGGCACCCAGAAGTATGATGTGCTTCCTCTTCAAGGTGCCTGCTGCAATCTTAAAGTCTCTTCTCAAAGGGAGGGACATGAACAGAACTCCCGCACGTCTGTTGAACCAGGACCAAGAGAAGCAAGGACTGGAGCTTGCGACTCTGCACCCTACCAGTCTATGGGACACAGGTGCGCATTGGTGCGCGCAGGGAATGCACAGAGCAGTTTCTGGTCCATCAAGGCACCTCTGTCGGCAAGGATGCCCCAGAAAGGAGCTGCCAGGTTTGTCAGAACCATTTGAACTGTGTTCAGGATGGCCTCAGCTGATGCCATGACAGCTGCCGCAACAGCCGCGTGTCAGCACGCTTCGAGCGGTAGCATCCAGCAGGCAGCAAACTCTTGATGCAAGTCCATGCACACCCAGCCGACGGGTGTGTTCAGAGTTGTTCATGTGCAGGCCAGGATGAGCCTATCAGACATTGAATCATGGGGCAAAAGCCTCACTGCGACTGCGCCACAACATCTGTGAGGGTCATGATGTTCTTCTGAAGCTGGAACATGCACGCAGGCACCAGTTGCGAATCGATGCCTTGCCGGTCTGCTTTGCAAGTGCCATGACCCTAAAACTTGGGTAGCAAGCCCTGGCACGTGCCTTCGATGGCGGAGGCCAAGCACAAGCACCTTGGGGCATCTTCTCAAGACTTCTACCTTCTATAAAAATATTCACAGATTATTCAGAGTGGCTTCTCAGACACTCTGATGCAGTATCAGAAGGCAGAAGACCGACCTAACTCTCGCAAGGAAGGGCTGACCTTCCCCAGCATCCGAAAGCCCATAGATCCACAGGCATCCAAAAGCTTCCACGGAATCACAACAACCCCATTCCACAAGTCTGCAACCGAAAAGAACTCTCAACACTTCCTCCCTAGGATAGTTGAATCTCCCCCTAAACCCTACTGTAACCCCTAAACCCTGAACCCTTAAACCCCTAAACCCTGAACCCCCCCCCCCCCCCAAAAAAAAAAAAAAAAAAGAAACTATATTACTTCGAACATCCCCACCCTGTCTTGGTAGAGATACTCCAGGGACACTCTGGGCTGGGCGCAGGACATTCTGGGGTTGTGCACTGCAGGGAGACTCTGGGGTTGGGCAAGCCAGGAGTCTGGGGACACTGTAGGGTTGGGCACTCCAGGGAGACTCTGGGGTTGGGCACTCCAGGCTCCAGGGAGACTCTGGGGCTGGGCACTCCGTGAAAATCGGCCGCTGCGCGGGGCGGTTAATTTGTGAGGGTTGTTAAACTGCGTCGCCTTTGTGAAAAATCCCTGCAGGGTCTGGGCACTCCAGGAAGACTCTGGGGCTGGACACTCCGGGGACACTCTGGGGTTGGGCACTCCAGGGACTGGGCACTCCAGGGAGACTCTGGGGTTGGGCGGGCACTCCAGAGTTGGGCACTGCAGGGACACTTTGGGGTTGGGCAATCCAGGGATGAGCTGTAGACCGGGCGAGGAGACGAGTTCCGGGCGAGGAGAAGAGTTGAGTTTACAATCTAACAACCCCACACAGAGGGTGGGGGAAAAAAAACCCCAAAAAAAGAAACAAAAAAACAAAAAAAATGAAAGAAATAAAAGAAACAAAAAAGAAAAACAGCTCTTTGCCTCACAGGCACAGCAGCAACTTCACTCCGGGCTGCCGCGGAGCCGGGGTCGCATTGGGCGCCTCGACCTTGCCAGCCGCCTCGGGCTCCTCAAGTGCGAGGGTTTAGGGTTTAGGGTTCAGGGTTCAGGGTTTAGGGTTCAGGGTTCAGGGTTCAGGGTTCAGGGTTCAGGGTTCAGGGTTCAGGGTTCAGGGTTTAGGGTTTAGGGTTTAGGGTTTAGAGTTTAGGGTTTAGGGTTTAGGGTTTAGGGTTTAGGGTTTAGGGTTTAGGGTTTAGGGTTTAGGGTTTAGGGTTTAGGGTTTAGGGTTTAGGGTTTAGGGTTTAGGGTTTAGGGTTTAGGGGTGAGGGCTTGCATTGGTTTAGGATTCGAGGGTCGGATGCACCTTGAGGGGAGTTGGCTTCTTCAAACGGCTCCCCTCTCCTACCATGAAGAGCGCAACCTCTGCTTCTGTCCCCATCACTTCGCCCTGCTTCGACTTTAACTGGATGCTTATAAGCATCGCTAAGCCGCACACTCTTGACCCTCTGAAGACTCCTGCAGCTGCACTGGCGCCGCGGCAGGTGCCACGGGCGACAAGCTATCGGCCATGGCCTGCAGCACGTAGCAGAAAGTCGTCACTAAAAATCCCAGGGAACAAGCGTAGCAGCTGAGGAGGTGGTATGGAGACGGGGAGCTTCCCTCTGAAGTCACGGAACGGTCAAAACGTGGCCTGTTCAATGCAGCCGAGGTGCCGTAAACCCCAATGTGCAGGATGGTGCGCGCACCGCACCGGGGCACAGAACTCTTTTGTTCGTGCTTGGCCGGAAACAGATTTCGGATGGACACGGATCGACCGCAGAGCCGTGGCCGCTGGCCGTACAGCCGACAATTGAGCGCAGAGATGACAGAGATGCGGTGAAAAAAACATCACAACATGTCTACACAGTGGGTGTTTCCGAAAATCGGGGTACCTCATTAGGGGTCCCTTGTTATAATTAAGGGAATCCTACAAACTATTTGGAGGGTCTATACTAGGGTTCCCTGATCGTCGGAAACCGCCACATGTCTACCCAACTCCGGCGCTGCTCTCGGGCACCGGCTTGTCAAGAGTGCCCGTGTCATCGACATCCACCTGCAAGTTCCGTGACCCTTGCTGAGGGGGCTTACGGGCTTGTGCGCCATCCGCCAACCACTACTGGTCGAATGCTGTCTGTATGTCCATGAGCAGGGACCTTCAAAAGCTACCCGCACTTTTGCGGATTCTTTCTCCAGACTTTCGCGGCACCTTCTGCGAAAAATCCCCGGAAACAAAAAACAAAAGCCTCGGATCCAGCAACGTTGGAGCTGCTACCCACAACAGGAAAACAAGAGCAACCACAGAGCATATAGCGTCAGAACTTTTGCCAAACGTGCATTTTTCGCGGTATCTTTCGCCGGTCTTTCACATACCCACCCCCTTTCAACGGCTATAATGTCTGTTTTAATTATATAAACCCGAAAGAAGGGAGGTTTACAACATCCATTTATTGCTTCGATATCGATCGTCTTTCCCAAGCTCCGTCTACACCGCTCGCTTCCTGGTCTTGCTACAGAGTTGCCTCTCAGGAGGCCCTAGTTTGGAACAGCCCCCATCTGCACGCCCACCTAGCAGTCTACCCACGAACCTCATGCAATGATTCCATCCACTAACACGTCCTGAAAGAACTGGGGAGCTCCTTTATCCGATTTTCCGCTTTTCCTTCTAGGTCCGGCCTTGTTGAGGACGCTGTGCATGACGTGAAAGCCGGCCGTGAAGCCCAGCTCCCGCAAAGCCCGAGTGGCCTGGCTAAAAAAACCCTCCCTTCAACTCGAAGCTGCGGACGTCGGCGGGCACCTAAGGACCGAGAAACTAAGCATGTAGCCATGCGAGCCGAACCTAACCCTAAACCCTAAACCCTAAACCCTAAACCCTAAACTAGAAAGGTACCTCCCAACACGTTACAGGCTCCCCTCCTCGAGTGCAGGGAGCTGGCCGGTGAGCTCCTTGCCAGCACACAGCAAGGATTTTAGGGTTTAGGGTTTAGGGTTTATGGTTTAGGGTTTAGGGCTTAGGGTTTAGGGTTTAGGGTTTCAGCAAACCGTTAAGGGCAGATTCGCCGGCCTTTTTCCGTCCCGCGAGTTGCGAGGACGTTTTCGATGAGCTCGGGGATTGGCAAAGATCCCAAACTAGACCCATCTTTCATATTGGCTTCCTAGGGATGGTTCTGCTCGGGCTGGAAGGCCCAAACCCAAACAGCCTACACCCTAAACCCCAAATCCGAACCCCCAAACCCTACACCCCAAACTCTAAACCCTAAACCCTAAACCCCAAACCCTCACAAGGCTGCATGGATCCTTGTCTTGCTTGCTGAAGGATGCATCGACTTGGTCGAGGTCCACATTGCAGAAGCCCTTCCCACAGGGCTCGAGGTCCACTCACCCCAGGGTTCGGGGTTTAGGGTTCAGGGTTTAGGGTTTCGGGTTTGGGGTAAAGGGTTTAGGGTTTAGGGTTTGGGGTTTGGGGTAAAGGGTTTAGGGTTTAGGGTAGTTGTAGGGTTATAGGGTTTAGGATTTAGGGCTTGGGGGGCTTAACGTCCTTCTCCACCACAAGCCCACAAATTTATTTGAGACACCTAAACCCGACTTAAACATTTAAGCCCTAAGCCCACCTAAACTCTGCTTGAACTCCACCCTAAACCCCCAAACCTGAACCCTACCCCTAAAGCCTACCATAATTCATGAAACCATGTGAAACCCGACGCCTCCTCAAGCCCTACCCTACCTTCCCAAAAACGGTGAAACTGAGGATGGCAACGATGATGATGCTGACTGCATGACGATGAAGATTTTCACGCTGTTGACTATACTGAGCTGATGATTCTGATGAGACTACATAACCAGCAGCATGATACCAGTAGAACATCTGCGCGCGATAGCCGGCTTCCAGGTCTAAAGATGCGAATGTTTCTGACAGTGGCAAAGCCGCAGGCCAGAATCATGCAGAAAATAAGGGGAATGGGAATGATCCTAATGAAGCATGCGGACTTGGCAAGACACCGTCTTGGTGCATTAAACTGGGCCCCTGATGATGAAACCGATGATAACGATGCTGGACACAATGAAGGTGCACATGACACATGCAACTATTGACGATGCTGATGATGATGATGATGATGATGATGGTGATGATGGTGATGATCGTGATGGTGGCGGTGGTGATTTTGTTGTTGGTGATGGCGATGCCGATCCGGATGCTGCTTCCACTGATGTAGATGACGCTGCTGACAAACACAAAGCTGCAGGGTAAACGAAACAATTGTGCAACTGTGCGTTGGCCAAAATGCTCAACAACGACGCACGAACTTGCCTACGAGCCACTTTGACGAATCAATCTTGCTTCAGGAATCACTGGAAACCCTCCAAACCTGTCTCACAACAAGAGCTGGCCAACCAGCCTGATTTGCTGAGCAGCAGCACCTCCTCCTCCTCCTCCTCCTCCTCCTCCTCCTCCTCTCCTCCTCCTCCTCCTCCTCCACTCCCCCAAATCCCAAGCAGGCGGGTTCGGCCTCTCGCTGGCGGTACGTGAGCAGGAGCCGCCACATTGCACTCAGATCCATCCTTGGTGCAGGATTGGGGTTTTGCGAAGCTGCGTTGGATGCATGATGAACTCAGAATTCCTTACTGCTACGTCAATCTAACACAAAGCACAATACCTCGCGACAGAAAGAAAGCAAGCTCTGGATGCTGAACCAATGAAAGAACACCTCGGCCGAAGTTTGCAAACCTGCAAAGTTAAAGTAGGTGGTTCTCGGCTGCTTTGCTTCGTGCTTGTTGCTTCCACTCCCGCTGCTATGGCTGCAACGTATGTTGGGCAATCAGGCAACACATGAACACGCGCGTTTAGAACACACAGTGCGCAGCGTCAGTTGAATGACTACAGATGAGGTTGCGTCTCGATGGTGGCCACACCACATTCCTCTGCAGCCTGCCACGAGCGCAGCCAGGCTTTTCAACGGAACAGCTTTGATGCCATCGTGGTAGCTCGACATCGCATAACCGCATATTGAACCCAGCAAGCCACGAGTTCGTTTCAAAGCATTGCCTCGTGGATGGCCGAGATGTCCCACATCTCCTCAGCACATGGGAACCAAGGCTGCAAGGCCCATGCCTGTTCAGGGCTCATCTTCGAGCTTCGACTCGCACGAGCCGAGCGCACCACGTAGCCCAAGTCCTTCAATACGGGCACCACCTGCATCAGCTCAAAAACATTCGCTGTCAAGATGATTGCCGTTTGGGGGGGCTTGTTCAGCATTGCAGTCCCAGCTGCTGAAAGGAAATAGATCAGTCTGAAGTTGTTCAGGTAAATACTGGAAATGCTGAGTATTGAAAAGAAAATGCTGATCAAATTGTGGCGACAGGCCATTCACAAGAAACTAAGCTCCAGATTCAATTGACTTTTCTTTCTTTCCGTCCAGGACGGGGGCCATCGGTTCTTTACTTTTCTGCCAGTACTACACTACAAGAAAACAAATTGAGGAATCCATCGTGTCTTTGGTATGGGCCTAAATAAGGTCGACCTACGGTTGCTTCAAAACTGGGCTTTAAGAAGCTGCTAGATTCAGACTTAGTTGCTACTGTGTGTTCCCTACTATGTGTTCCGCCCTGGAGGCAGGCAATGAGAAATTTGTTTCCTTGCAGAGCTGCACTACAAGCAAATAGACCAACAGATAGGAGGTCGTTTGTCTCAAGCCCTCAGCAGACAATTAACTCTAAAGTTCATGTCTGGCTGTGGGGTTTCTGATAGTCTGACCGTTGATCCAGTAAACGGAAAGAGGGACAAGGGAAAGCTTGATGTTGTTCCTGGCTCCCCAACCATGTCATGTGGGTGGTTGTCGTTATTTGGGTCCCTTTTTGGTTCCCCCTTCTCAAACGGCACCTACTGTTTAGGGTGCCCCAAAAAGGGATCGTAACTTTGACAGCCACCGATGTGCCTCCATCATGTTGATTGTCCCCGAGTGGTCTGCATCGTTCTCCTTGATCAGCTTCTGGAGGAGCTGCAAGGGCAAGGCCAAGGATGAAAGGGTTTAGGGTTTAGGGTTTAGGGTTCAGGGTTCAGGGCTTAGGGTTTAGGGTTTAGGGTTTAGGGTTTAGGGTTTAGGGGCTTAAGGCTTTGGATCCTCCAAGACTTGTGCACATGTGCCAGAAACACGGACGCCTCGAGCTCCGACTCGCGCACGCGCCGCATGCACTGCAGGTACTGGCGCTGGTTCAGCTTGCCGTTGTCCTCATGGTCCACCTCGCTCTGCGTTCCGCTGGGGTTTCGGGTTCGGGCTATAACCATTGAGGGGAGGCTTCGAGGTCTACGAGCCTATAAAGCGCTCCGGACCCTTCGCCTTCTGCCCGAGCCCAGAACGAAGACAGAACTTCATGCAACCCACAGGGCCTGGGCCAGCACCTTCTGCGTCCTCTCAGCAGGCCAGCAGAAGCCCAGCCAATTGAGGATGGTCTGGAATTCCTGAACTCGGGGGTCAACGAACTCGCGGCTTGCTCGGAACATGGTGGATTCGGCAGGCCTTGCTGTCCAGCTCCGCGGTCTCGTCACGGTCATGGCGCTCAAAGATGCCGACGAACTCCTTTCAGGACACATGATGATCCATATGACCCTGATCCCTCTTGACAACAGGGTCTCTAAGGCCCAAAGGGGACGAGCAAGCAGCGGCTTCCACCGTTCACTTGCTAGAGAAACGTTTCTTGCTGAAGCCTCCCTGCAAGCCTCCCGACTGGCCCGTGGCACCTCGTACTCGCTGGCAGTGAACCCTTCTCGAAGCAGCAATAGGTCCATCAACTGCCAAGGATAGGCCAAGGGGGTGGTGCAGGGCTCGTCACGATGCGAGGGTGGCCAGGATGGCTTGGAAGCCTCTTGAATCCTCTTGACTTCTGGACTGCGAACCTCCTTGAACTCATCAATGTCCAAAGTTCCTCCACGGTCCTGGAGGGCTGTTCAAGTCGGTCTATCAGAGTCTATCAGAGCCTTTCGCATGCCTCCATCCCTCCCATGCGGACACAGCAGGCGGCTGCGTGCTCAGTCAACGATGGCAGCTCAAACTCTGGCCACTTCATCTGCTGGCAGGCGGAAGAGCAGGAAATCACAGAATGCATCTTCATTAGGAGCTTTTTGCACCTACTGCCCTCTGTCGGTCCTTGTCCACCTCATCAATGACCTGCTCAGGATTCGAGTTTGAGCGGTGTCTTTGGGTCCAGCTAGGCCCTCGGAGGACACCACCAGCTACACAGCTTGCAAAAGCTGACCCTGCTTGGTAGGCATGCGCCCCGTGCCTCCTGCAGGACGTGAGTCCTAGGGCAGGCGAGTGATTGAACTGTCACGTTTGCACGTGCCGCTGCCTCTGTTCCGACTCTCTGGCAGGGTTTGCCGACGTTCACACGAAACATCACATGAGATCAAATCCTGCCAAGTCAGCCATGTGTCTGCTACGGAAGTTGTTCCCGGTACACGCGTGAACACCCGCGCGAACGCCCGCACGATCCCGCATCCGGCCCACCCGTCCGCGCGCGGCATTTGCTCAAGCTTTCCGGGCCCACGACATCGGCTCAATGTCAAAGTCGCGTAGCAGTACGGCAACTTCCGAAGCCTCCACTGATGTGAGCGTTTTGTATGAGGATTTGAAACATGGCAGAAGGGTGGAATGCACCGGCTTGCCTCTACCAGACCAGAACCATCTCCATCACAATTCGCGAAGGCGGCGGCATAGGCCTCCAAGGAGGACACGCTACGACTTGGAGGTTCATGGGTAGTTCTAAGTGGGGTGATAAGTAGGGTAACTATGCTTAGAACCTTCTTTAGGGTACCTATAACCCTGATTAGAACTACCCATGAACCTCCGAGTAGGGCTGTTGAGGTTCCCGCATGTTCCCGCACTTGCCGAGCTTCGGTTCACCAGCAGCGTTTGGGCTTTAAAAGTGCCAGAGTTCCGGTGGATTCTCATCCAGGCTCCTTGCCCTGTCGCACTCAGCAGGTATCACGCTATCACCGGGGTACAGAACAGCTTGGGCAAGCTCCCCCCCACTTTGTCACAGCAACAAACGTACAAGAAACTCTTGGCATTCCTCGGCTGCCAGACTGGCAGCCAAATGGAGGCTCGCATGGGCTTGCGTTAACGCTGACGGCTTAGCGGCTTCCAAATTGTCCCTGCTTTGTGACTCCGCCTCATCTCGATAGGTGGCGTACCGCTTGATGAATGCGATGAAGTCCTCAGATCGCTAAAAAGCCGGGCCAGCTCAGCTCAACGGAAAGCGCACCAGGATGATAAGAAAGTCCAGCCGATGCAGGCCTCCGAGAAGGGAGCGTTCTCTTCGAATTGTTGAGTGCTTAGGCCAGAGCATCTATCTCGATGGTGTTGTACTGCGGGCTGATTTGGTTGAAGATCTCGTCGACCTCGCTGATGGCACTCAGAATAGCCCTAGATCAAGAGTAGAACAGAACATCTGTTATTGACAATCAGCACCCTGCCCCTCGAACATGAGTTCCAAGAGTGATGGAACATGTGAGAAATGCAGCTTCTCAACCTCCTTTCGAAGTGCGACCGTAAACAAGGCTTAGAACTTAAAGCGCGAGGGGGGTGGTGGGGAAGCTCCAAGCTTGCAGCCAAGTGTAAAGGGGGGGAGGTTCTGCTGTGCAGGGACGTTTCAAGACAGCCCCTGCACCCTCAAACCGCAAAGCCCTCAAGTCCTCCTCCCCCCGCCCCAAACCTAGAGTCAATTCTGGTCAGGGAGCCCAATACCCGATCATCATAGGAATGCTAGATGAATTCTCAAGTGAAGGGTCTCGAATACGAACAGCACATAGCCCGAAACCATAAACCCAAACCGTAAACCGAAACCCCACATTCCTCAGTACGAGGGGTATTGGGACTCGCCCTAAACCCTAAACCCTAAACCCTAAACCCTAAACCCTAAACCCTAAACCCTAAACCCCTAAACCCCTAAAACCCTAAACCCCTAAACCCTAAACCCTAAACCCTAAACCCTAAACCCTAAACCCTAAACCCTAAACCCTAAACCCTAAACCCTAAACCCTAAACCCGAACCCCTTCTGGGGCTCGCGGCCCAGCTCTGCTTGGGGCAGACGAAGCCCAGCAGCTCGAGGGCCTCCAGGAGGTCGGAGCGGTGGACCTGATTTCAGTTGGAGTTTAGGAGTTTAGGGTTTAGGAGTTTAGGAGTTTAGGGTTTAGGAGTTTAGGAGTTTAGGAGTTTAGGAGTTTAGGAGTTTAGGAGTTTAGGGTTTAGGAGTTTAGGAGTCTAGGAGTCTAGGAGTTTAGGAGTTTAGGAGCTTAGGAGCTTAGGAGCTTAGGTGTTTAGGTGTTTAGGTGTTTAGGTGTTTAGGTGTTTAGGTGTTTAGGTGTTTAGGTGTTTAGGTGTTTAGGCGTTTGGGTTCTTAGGGTTCTCAGGGTTTTTAGGATTTGGGGTTACTGCGATATGGCGCAGAAGCCGAATAATTAGCCTCGAAAGCCTCGAAACATGCGAGGGCTATGGCTCGATTGTGGAGCAGATGCGTTGGTCGGCTCTGCCTCGTTGTGGTCCTTCACTTTGTCGAACACCTCCTGTGCGGCCTGTGGCAGGGCTCTCAAGCACTGTCTCAACTTGACCTGCAGTTTGGAAAGCTTCCTAAACCCTAAACCCTAAACCCTGAACATCCCTAAACCCTAAACCCTAAACCCTAAACCCTAAAACCCTAAACCCTAACCCTAAACCCTAAACCCTAAACCCTAAACCCTAAACCCTAAACCCTAAACCCTAAACCCTAAACCCTAAACCCTAAACCCTAAACCCTAAACCCTACCCCAAGGCCCCAGGGCACCTCCTCGATGTCCTTCTCCATGTCCTGTCTGCACAAGATCAAAGAAAATAAGCTGAACGCGCTGAGCACCGGATCCGGCTTCAGGTACGAGACCTCATGCCAAGACTTAGGGTTTAGGGTTTAGGGTTTAGGGTTTAGGGTTTAGGGCTTAGGGCTTAGGGCTTAGGGTTTAGGGTTTAGGGTTTAGGGTTTAGGGTTTAGGGTTTAGGGTTTAGGGTTTGTTTAGGGTTTAGGGTTTAGGGTTTAGGGTTTAGGGTTTAGGGTTTAGGGTTTCGGGTTTAGGGTGCTAGATATACCAACTACTGCAGGAACAGAATGCGGTTGCTTCTGCAGCAGGTGCAGAAGCAGCAGCACTGACAATTTAGTGGCAGAGGCCCTTGCAGTTCTAGTGGCAGCCGCTACTTTCACAAGTTGTCAGTGTGTCCTTGTCAAGGCTCCTTGTCGAAAGGATGGTGCGCGTGTATGCTCTGTCGAGACCTGCACATGCGAAGGTGAGCTCAAGTTTGTCTATCGCCACACTCACCTTTGCCGTGCCTCCACTCTGTGGGGAGACCAATGAGTGCTGGCTTTGCGGATTCATAGGGCCTCAGCCAAGCATCGCATCTGGGCAACAAATCGTCTGTGCAGACATGCTGACATGCCCTGGCCGCAAACACCAAACGAAAAAGTTTAAAGGTCATGGCCCTGAGCCAGACATGCAAGAGATTTGTTGCTGCGTCTTGCTCCGGGCTTTGCAAGTGAGGAGTCAAGGACAAACACTTGAACCCATCCTAGGCCTCATGGGCATTTCCGAAAATAGGGGTCCTTGAAGACGCCCAAAATAGGTACCCCAAACTTTGGGAAACCCCCTCATGAGTTTGCATGGCACCAGCGCAACACCCCCTTCCCAAGACTGGTCCTTGCGCAATAAGCTGCTTCCTGTTTGGTTCAAGCAACTGTCATCTGGCTTCAGGCTCTACGTGGCCTGCTGGGGTGCAGCTTGTCAGGCAAGCTCTGCTTCATGACTGCTTCATGCCCAAATGCGCACAGGAACCAAACATGTCCAAACTCCTAGACGCCGAGCCTAAACGTTAAACTGAGCCAGCGCATTCCTGCACCCTTGAGATTGTACGGTAAGCAGGCTTGTCTACGCACAAACCAGCGTGGTCAGAGAGTTTGCTTGGACACCGTGCCTGAAAAAGCGCGAAATATACGGATGCAGAGAGGATAGTAACCGTGAGGCTTCAAGGATGTGTAAACTGCTCGGGTATCCCTCAGGATCTCGGCACCTATGTCGCTTGGTGGCCTATGACATCTTGAAAGCCGCTTGATCGTTTATTGCGGCACTTCGAGCTGTACACACACACACAGAGACACAACGCTGTTTTCGCCTTGAAGTGGAGATTCGGGTATTCCTTGAACCCCCTTCGGTGTTAACCCATGTGACAACCCAATGGGTTCATCTCATTTTGGCATCACATCTTGGGTAACCTAACTGAGCGTTCTCCATACGGATGCAGAATATGCAAAGGAGTTCGGCAGATCCGCATGCTGAGACGGATGCTCAGCGAATCTCCACGGCGCACCTTACGTCATGCTTCCACTTGCCATTGGAGACCACAGCTGCTCTTTCGCCATGGGGATTTCCCAAAGCAGGGGGCCGACCCCCCATCTCATCCTTATCAAAAGGAACCCCGCGCACAGCTACAACCCTACAAACTTCCCACATCTCAGCATTGCACAGCACAATATCACAAAGCCTTTTGCTGCATCCGCGCCTGGTCAAGCCGGCTCAGCCGAACGGACTTGTCCTGGTGGTTTGGGGTTGAGGGTTTAGGGTTTAAGGTTTAGGGTTGAGGGTTTTTGGGCGGATAGGCTCCAGGTTTAGGGTATAGGACTGCAAACGAACGTAACATGAAAACCTGGCTGACGAACCCTACCCCCAAAAGCTCCGTCAAACCCTACCATTTGCAGCTATTTTTTTGTTCGTTGCCGCGCACCCGTGGGTCTTGCGACGAGAATGCAATTCCCCGCGCCCCCAACTGCACTGCGCCGTGTCCTACCCAAGAGACAGCCCAACGAAGGCACGAAAGAACCCCGAACCTGAAACTAACCCTATCAAAACCCTAAAGCCCTTACGCCCGCCCTCCCAACAACACAAAAAAGCGGCCTGGCTTCTCGGGGTGAAGTTGTCAGGGGGGCTGGTCTGCCTGAATCCGGCGATCAGGGTCTAGGGATCTTTCGGCTTGAGGCCTCGAGGCCCTTGAGGGTTTGCTGCGGGGTTCCGGATGATGCGGTTTAGGGTCTGGGC